AAATTACTCCTCTGATGGCCAAATTTTCTGCTTAATTAACTTTGTTACTTTGATACTAGACACATCTAGACAGAAGCAAGGAATGCTGCTAAAACTTTAAAAAAATTACCATCAATTACCTGAATGTTCCAACATGCTGCCACCTTTCTGATATCCTCCACCTGATTTAGTAATATTTTATTTTATTTTTAAATTGGCATCAGATATTGCTTGAGTGATCTTTGTTTTTATCGTTTTATGAAAACCGACCAAACTTGGTTTTCATCTTTTTGTCTGGGCTGTTTTCAGTCCAGAGATCATCATGGCAGCTGTGGGGAAGCAGAGTCTTTATGCGTTAATGGTCTGAGAAACTTTATTGAAAACATGTCAGGGTGAAGAAAATAAAAGGAGCCATAAAACTAAGACCCTGTAAATCTAAAAATGAGACCAGTTTAACAAGTTTTTTAAAGGATTCCTGATTTTACTGCATATAAATTGAAGTAAAAACGTGGGAATACTGACAGTTACTGGCTTTCAGCAATGTGATGCCTTTAAAAGTCTTTCTGTTGGAAACTAGACCCACTGTGAGTCTTTGTCCACTGGTGGGGATAAAGAGCTGGGAATCACCGTGTGACGGCGGGTCAGCTGCCTGCTGAGGTGGGCCGCCTCAGCTGGTGGTTATTTCCCAATCCGGACCCGCCGATGACAGACGGGAGGAATGTCACAGAGCCGCCATCAGCCGGCTGACGCCTCAGACTGACCACCGTCCCCAAAAAGAGTCCTGGCTTTGGTATAAATAGCTTCATGCCAGAGGGTCAAATAAGGAAGTTTGAAGCTGAGCAGGCGAGCTAATTCTGTTCTTTTACACCGAGAGGAGATCCAGGATGGAAGGAGGATCTGATCCGTCATCGCTTCTGTTTGGAAGTGATGTAGATTTAAACATGTAGATCAGGAAGTCAGCTTTAGCAATCAGACTGTCCATGTTCTGTTCACACCATCAGATCTGAGTCCACCAACAGGAAATGGTCCAAAAACAGAAAATAGACACATTTTTCAAAGGAATCTTAGGAAGAAAACTGCTTTCTGCATCAGTTCCTGAGCTACAGCAGAGTGAAAACAAGTGAAATGTCATGAGGAGCGACAGGTGGCACCAATGATGAGCGCAAACACTTTAATCCTTTGATAATAAAGATAATTACATAGGGGCGCCGGGTTACCATAGGAACCGTCCTTCAACCTTTACAACCAGCTGTTGTTGATAGTCAGAGAGGAGCAACAAGGACACACAAAGAGTCATGGTACAGTCTCTGATAGTTGACCGATCAACCTTCCATCATTGGATGATCTCCTGAGCAAAAAGCTTAGAAAGAAAAAGATTATTACCGAGAGGAAAACGTCTCAGACTGCTTCAATCTGCACAGCGGTGGACGACCCTGCAGGTCAGGAAGCCCAGAGACATGAGCATAAACCCAACAGCTCCAGCTCAGACACAACAGGCTAGCAGAGTGAAGGTTAAAGGTCATGACCCTGAACCAGTCTGGCTCTTTGGGAGGATTGAAGGAAAAAGAGGCCGCTTCTCCATATGTGTACTTGTGCATCCTCATGTACTCGTGAAACTGGTACTAGTACTGTTCCAGTTCACAAGAATAAGAAGACAGAGAACGGACAAAGTCCCAGGATGATGTTCTTGCCCCTTCCTCTTTACCCAGCATGCATCAGAGCAGACTTGTCTGTTCTCCAGACTGACAGCTGTCCCAGCATGCACTGCGGTGGCAGCGGCTTCCAGGTTAGCGCTCACAGAGCTCAGAGTATTAAGTTAAAAGCTCTCTTTTCTGTTTTTGTTGTTCTATAAAAGTATGTTTTAAGATCATTTTATTCTTAAGGCTTCACTATTTCCACTTCCATTTACCAATTAAGTGCGAAATTAAAATTTAATATTTCGATGTTGAGAGGACCACAGCAACCAGCGTACCTCCAAGGATAACCATAGGCAGGGCTGATGTTAGCCCCGTCCGCAGCAGCCAGGGCTGACGTCAGCCTCGCAGCCAGGGCTGACGTCAGCCCCGCAGCCAGGGCTGACCTTAGCCCCGTCCGCAGCAGCCACGGCTGACGTTAGCCCCGTCCGCAGCAGCCACGGCTGACGTCAGCCCCGTCCGAAGCAGCCACGGCCGACGTTAGCCCCGTCCGAAGCAGCCACGGCTGACGTCAGCCCCGTCCGCAGCAGCCACGGCTGACGTCAGCCCCGTCCGAAGCAGCCACGGCCGACGTTAGCCCCGTCCGAAGCAGCCATGGCTGACGTCAGCCCCGTCCGCAGCAGCCACGGCTGACGTCAGCCCCGTCCGAAGCAGCCACGGCCGACGTTAGCCCCGTCCGAAGCAGCCACGGCCGACGTCAGCCCCGTCCGAAGCAGCCACGGCTAACGTCAGCCCCGTCCGAAGCAGCCACGGCTGACGTTAGCCCCGTCCGAAGCAGCCACGGCTAACGTTAGCCCCGTCCGAAGCAGCCACGGCTGACGTTAGCCCCGTCCGAAGCAGCCACGGCTGACGTCAGCCCCGTCCGAAGCAGCCACGGCTGACGTTAGNCAGAGAACGGACAAAGTCCCAGGATGATGTTCTTGCCCCTTCCTCTTTACCCAGCATGCATCAGAGCAGACTTGTCTGTTCTCCAGACTGACAGCTGTCCCAGCATGCACTGCGGTGGCAGCGGCTTCCAGGTTAGCGCTCACAGAGCTCAGAGTATTAAGTTAAAAGCTCTCTTTTCTGTTTTTGTTGTTCTATAAAAGTATGTTTTAAGATCATTTTATTCTTAAGGCTTCACTATTTCCACTTCCATTTACCAATTAAGTGCGAAATTAAAATTTAATATTTCGATGTTGAGAGGACCACAGCAACCAGCGTACCTCCAAGGATAACCATAGGCAGGGCTGATGTTAGCCCCGTCCGCAGCAGCCAGGGCTGACGTCAGCCTCGCAGCCAGGGCTGACGTCAGCCCCGCAGCCAGGGCTGACCTTAGCCCCGTCCGCAGCAGCCACGGCTGACGTTAGCCCCGTCCGCAGCAGCCACGGCTGACGTCAGCCCCGTCCGAAGCAGCCACGGCCGACGTTAGCCCCGTCCGAAGCAGCCACGGCTGACGTCAGCCCCGTCCGCAGCAGCCACGGCTGACGTCAGCCCCGTCCGAAGCAGCCACGGCCGACGTTAGCCCCGTCCGAAGCAGCCATGGCTGACGTCAGCCCCGTCCGCAGCAGCCACGGCTGACGTCAGCCCCGTCCGAAGCAGCCACGGCCGACGTTAGCCCCGTCCGAAGCAGCCACGGCCGACGTCAGCCCCGTCCGAAGCAGCCACGGCTAACGTCAGCCCCGTCCGAAGCAGCCACGGCTGACGTTAGCCCCGTCCGAAGCAGCCACGGCTAACGTTAGCCCCGTCCGAAGCAGCCACGGCTGACGTTAGCCCCGTCCGAAGCAGCCACGGCTGACGTCAGCCCCGTCCGAAGCAGCCACGGCTGACGTTAGCCCCGTCCGCAACAGCCACGGCTGACGTTATCCCATTCGCAGCAGCAACAGCTGACGTTAGCCCTGTCCGAAGCAGCCACGGCTGACGTTAGCCCCGCCCGCAGCAGCCACGGCTGACGTTAGCCCCGTCCGAAGCAGCCAGGGCTGACGTTAGCCCCGCCCGCAGCAGCCACGGCTGACGTCAGCCCCGTCCGAAGCAGCCAGGGCCGACGTTAGCCCCGCCCGCAGCAGCCACGGCTGACGTCAGCCCCATCCGAAGCAGCCACGGCTGACGTTATCCCATCCGAAGCAGCCACGGCTGACGTTAGCCCCGTTAGCCTCTCTCTGCAATCTGATTTTTGGTTTTATCCTTCAAAATGTTCATTTGATTTGTGTTTATTTGACTGAGTTTATTATTCCTCCAATAAAAAAAGTCAGAATTTATAATTATTTAAAGACTTTTAATAACAGGAGGTGAAATGCAGCTTCAGACGAGCCGAGCGTGTTGTGATGATTTGGGCTTTTTCAGGTTCCTCACCACCACAGAGGGAACCATGACCTCTGCTGTATTCTAGAAAGAATCCCTACCTGGGTCAGCAAAGAACAAGGATCCAAAAAAACAGAAAACAAATACAAAGGTTTGGAAAGTCAAACTAAAAGGCCGTCCTGCATCTTTGATACCCGAGAAGGTTTTACTTTGGGACTCCTTATTCTGGTGGTTTTTTGAGAAAAATTGTCTAAACTAAGAAAAACACAATGTAGGTGTTTGTTTTTTTTTTCCGGCTTTCTTGGAATCCTGAGTTTTAGAGAAGAACCAGAGAAATTTCACAACATTATGAGAGAAAAACAGGAATGAAAACAATCTGCTTTCCAGTGATTAAGCAACCTCACCATGGAGAAACTTAGGAAGGAATCCCAGGCCTGAGGAGGAGGAGGAGGAAGGAGAGAACTCCAGCTGCTGGTCAGTCGTGCCAAACCAAGCCGCTGCTGCGGTGGGAAACCTGGGGGCGTTACCTGGTATCACTTGGCTGGCAGGGATCCAGGAACCAGACAGCATAACTGAAGAGAACTACTCCCTCCTGTTCCTCTGATGGCGGCGCTGCCACCCTGAACCGCTTCGTAGCCCAAATCATCGACTGAAGAGAAACTTCAACCTTAGAACCGGGCCTAGACCTGACTGATGACCAACCTAACCTGACCCCCATGATGCTGAGGAGCAGCAGCGATCATCTCAGTGTTTCATGGAGGAAGCTTTAAATCAAACTGCCAACATCTGAGCTTTGTTGTTGCTTTTAATAAGCATTCGTTTTCTGCACCATCTCATCTGGTTTTGATTTTAGTGAAGTTCTTCTTTTGAAGATGTTGTTTCTCCGCCTCTTTGTGGGAACTTCTACTCTCAGAGCAACAGCAGAGCTAAAATCATGTTGACACAACCCAACATTACCTCCCTTCTTCAAACAGCAGAAGAATTTGATGCTTTTAAGCTTTTTTCCACTAAATGCTGATATCCATAAAGGCAGAATCGGACTCTCACCTGGAGGACGGGGCTGTTGTCAAAGTTGTAGGCACTCGGTCGTCCCTCCAGTGTAGAGAAAGCCACATTTCCTCCGGTGAGCGGCGATATGTCACTGAAGTCATCGGTGCAGAGCGCCTCCTGCTCGTCGCCGCCGGTCCGGATGAAGCCGCGGCTCGGCTTCCTGTAGGTCTTCTCGCAGGAGCCGCTGTAGTACTGGTAGGGCACCCAGGGGCCGTCCTCCCGGGTGCGTTTGTAAATGACGAAGCTCTCTGGACGGCTGGTGTGGAACTTGAGGCGGACGTAGGTGATGTCAAAGGCCTTACCTGCAGATAGAGATGAAGAGAGAGAACCTCGGTTTAACAAGAGGAGAGGAGGACACTTAAAACCAGGGGGTTCTATACCAGGAGTCCTGAACCAAGGGTCCTGAACCAGGGGGTCCTAAAGCAGAGGTTCTATAACAGGGGTCCAAAACAAGTGGTACATAACCAGGGGTCCTAAACCATGTGTTCCTTAAGCAGCAGCTCTAAACCAAGGGTCCATAACCAGTGGTCCCAAAGCAGAGGTCCTGACTGTAAAACATACCTTTAACTGACAGAGCGACCCACTCAGAGCAGGAATTATATCAAAATTGTAAAAACATGTAAACATTATGCATTTAAGATCAAAAAACAAATATTCTTCAATCAATCTGCTATATCCAGAACTCCTTAAGTAGAAAAGTGTTAGTTTAAGCTAGTTTAATTTAGTAAAAAGTCTTCCTTAAGGAACATTTTCGTATGCAATTATCAACTGATCAATCGAAAAAACGAATTAATCGATTTGTAAAATAATCGTTAGTTGCGGCCTTAGTTGAGATGTTTTCATTCAACAGTTTCTTTTGCCAACAGTAGCTAAATATTTGTTACTATTTCATTTCCTATTATATTTGAATGTAAAAACTCCCATTCAACCTTAAAACAAAAGAAAATTATTCTTTGGTCAAAAACTAATTCCCGGTCAGGAAAAGCTTTTATTTTGAAGGGTCATGCTGTTGAAATGGCACTAACCAGATCACCTTGAACCGGACCGAAGGGACAAATGGTGGTAAAGGCTGCTGAACGTGGACCTCTGGTCTCAGCCAGGCTCAGCAGGCCCGGTTCTTTACTAACGGACCTGGTTTATAACTCCTAAACCTCTGTTACTCCTCTTCCTCAGTGACTTTATGCTAGAATTGCTTCTAATCTGGGGACAGACTGGTTCTAGTTAGAATCCAGGGTTCTAGCAGCACAGCTTAAGGAACCAACTGGGCCTGGTATCTGAATGAGCCATAAAATAAAGGGTTTCCATCTATCAGAACCATCTAAACATTTTAATAAAAACATTTCTGTATTTTTGATGAATGAAACAGGTTTATTCAAACTGAATCTGATGAAGCTGCTGGTTAGTTTCTGGTTCTTTGTAAGTTCTGAATTAAATAGTTCCCAATCATGGTTCTGATTCAACGTTTCATTGATTGAGGTCCAAACAAAGTCCATCTGCAGCTGGTGGTTCTGCAGGGAGGTGGATCCTTGTTCGACGCTCTGACAGAAACATGAGAGCCAGATCCGTGCAGCCGGGTCGGTTCCTCCACGCCGACTGATGGATGTGAAAGGCAGAGCAGGAATGCAGGGAGCCGTCGGAGCGTGACCGAGCAGCGGAACCGCTCCTTCAACTGCGGGTCAGGAGGGTCGTTTGCAGCGGGTCTGAGCAGGTCCCAGAGCAGCAGCCGCCTGATGGCAGAAGGTTCTGCTGTTTGCTCAGCCAAAGAATCTGTTCTGTAAACAGAGGGCCGGTACGGGGGCCCGGCTTCTGGGGGCCCCCCAGCATCGACAGCAAATAAAGGTGAAGCAGCTGATGGGACTCACAAAAGGCTGCAGTTTATTACAGGAAACAATGAAGCAACTGCAAACACACCGGCTTCCTCCTCCTCCTCCCTCAGGGTGTGCACGTGTGAGTGTGCACGTGTGAGTGTGCACGTGGCTGAGGACCGCTCGCTAACAGATGAGCTTTATGGGTCAAGGTTAATAAGAAGCGCTGAGGTTTGAAGGCTTTCACTGCAGGGTGGAGCACAGAAACCACGGAAACCCGATCAAACCGGAACCAGAGACTCTACAGATGGCTGATGCTTCTGGGTCCGATTCAGGGCCTTAATGCTGCAGCTCCACAGTTAGAGGTGCTTTTCACAGACAGATCACCAGCAGCTGGATCAGAACCACAGACGGTTAAACGGCTTTAGCTCAGCGAGGCTCGGCCAGAGCTGCTCATCAGCTGAAACTTTTTCCCATGAAGTGAGAAACTCTTTCAGGTCAGAGGAGATAAATCTGGACCTTCCTGTCTGGGTCCAAAGCAAAGCAACCAGAACCGGACCGGGCCGAGACGGAAAACAGGAAATAACAAAACCTGAAGTTCACAGTAGAAACATGAGCTCCTATTTAAAGTACCGCATGTTTCCTCAGTCCTGTTTGGTCGCGTTCAGAGGAGATTCTGGGCAGCAGAAAGAATAAAAAATAAACGACACCCAGAGGAGGTTCAGCAGGTGATTAAAGAAGAGTCCAGAAGGTCAGCTAGAGGTCAAAGAAACATATACCTTTTATCATTTATGATGAGTCCAAAATAGAAAACTATTTACTTCTTCAGTCATAATAACCGACTGATGGTGTTCTTGTTTTTTATACACTCTGTATACAAAAAGACAATAAAGTTTGTCTAAGTCTAATTTTCCAGCACTGAGTTGTGTTACCATGGAAATGAGCTTTATAAGTAAACTTTTCATAAAGTCCTCAACTATGAGTGAAAACCTGCTTTGGTTTCAAATCCCTGAGAGCGAATGAAGGCAACTTTTAGTTTTGAACGCAGCTCTAATCTAGAACTGTTAGATTGCTTCTGTTGACCCAGACTGACCCAGTTCTGTTAGAACCTTTCAATTCAAACCGGCTGCTCAGACCAGGAGGAAGAGGAGGAGCTTCATCATCATTCAGAACAAAGACGGGTTGTCTGTGAACCCAGCAGAACATCTGGGATGTGAAGCATCTCTGGCTCTGGAAGGTCTCTGCAGAGCTTCTCTGGCCTCGGATCAGAGCTGCGGGTTTGAAGAGGCGTCTGAGGGCAGACCGGAACGCCGCGTCAGCAGCCAACCTTCTGACAATAGCACTAAAACGCCTCCGCATCCTCCCAGCAGGACACAACAGGAGACAAACAGCGGCGAGGACACAGCCTCTGATTGGACGAGCAGGGCAGGGATGCTGCAGCGGATCCAGTGGGAGGAGGACAGACAGCAGGTGATGCAGCTGCTGTTCAAACATCATGTGGGAAATTTAAAGCCAACAACTGTGGAGCTTCTGCAGGCTGAAGCGTCCTCCTCTTCATCCAGAACAATCAGCATATTCAGCATGGAGAGTTTGAGTCAGGAAACAAAGAGCGGGCTGTTTCAGCCTCAGCTCTCACTCATCAGACTGACGCTGGAAGGAGAAGCCCACATCGTCTCAACTTCTCTACAACCACGTTAAAATAAAAGCAGCTCTGGGCCTGCAGGAAGCTGCCCGCCAAAATAAAAGCCAAGAAGGACACCATTAGAATCCACGCCCTTTAATTAAACCAGTTTCATGAAGTCTGGAAAAATAAAAATTAATTGACTAACAACAGTTAAATGTTAAAAACTCCTCCCAAAGGTTTGCTAATTAGAGAAAGCTGAACACTTTATTTTACTTAAAGGCTTTATAACCACCACTGTTCCCAACAACCTCAATAAATTGTTCCATTCATGCTGATTTTTCTCAGTTTCTACCTTAGTCAGTTAAATAACCTGCTGCTGTCATTTAGTACATCTCTGCTATTTTCAAATATCCATTACTGTAAAAATGTCCATAGCTGCATATTGGTTATTTATTCTCCAGGTTCTATAGTGTTAAAACACCTTACAGTACGGTATTTTATTTTTTATCTTATTACTCTTCACTATTATTTTATTCTTATACATCTTTCTAAGCTCCACATTTGTGTGACCATTTTTTTCTCTAATCTTTTTGCTGCTGTAAACACCAGAATCCCCCCATTGTGAGACAATAAGGGGATTTTCTATTCTATTCTTCTATTCTTAAATCCATACTCAGCTCCTGGATCCACACTTCCTGCAACAAGATCTACTTTTACATGAACATGAACTTTGTACATGGAAAAATGGGACAAAAATCATGGATTTACCTGCAAAATATAAACAATAAACTCAGAAACAGATCCAGAATA